ACAGGGCAAGAGACTGATTTGTAAATGCCAGTAACATTGTAATAATAATCAGATTTTAATCTGCACTTAAATGCATATAAACATACTTAAATGACTGAACATAATAAAAAGACCTACTTGGATACTGGCTTTTTTGTTTTAATCTGGCTGGTCAGATATATGACATTTACTTTCATATTTTGTGTCTTATTTTATTTTATGACCCAATAAAAATGTTAAACATGAGATAGACTTAGGCCTGATTTGCAAAGAAGTATGTGAGTAACTCAAACTTAACTATCATGATCCCTTAATATTGCAGCTCAACAACTAGGTATTTCATCTAAATTTTGAGAATATTCTTCATTTGATATAGTCTCAATCAAGCAACAAAGATATGCAACTTCTAGATGACTAGGTAAAGTTAGTTGATTCTTTGTAACTTTTTGTGACTCTATAGAAATAATAATAATTTACTGGCATTAACAAAAGGAAAATGTGATATCACTATGGTGTGAAACTATGAAAATAAATATATTTAACTGTTATATTTGGTTCATTACCTCTGTTGTGACAATACCATATATTTGGCCCTATTTTTCTAGTGCAACCATAACATGTTTATGCTGCTCTTTGTGGACCCTTGGAAAAAAAGAACAAGAAAGAATGTCAGTAGTTAGAGAAGTACACTAACACTTGGCTCTAGATTAGTAGTTCAACTACAACTAACTCACAAGCCATGAAACATCTGATAAACCATCCTCCATCCTCCACCTTACCTTCCTTGCAAAGGTGTGGGTAGATACACAAGACAGGGTGGAAGCTGAGAATACCATATGCCACTTTTAGGTCAGGGAAGAAAAGTGGCACTGTACATGCAATGAATAAGTACTCAGAGGAGAACATTTAATGGACACAGAAAATAAAGAAACGAGATGGATATATACCAGGTATACCCAACCTTGGCAACTTTAAGATTTTAGACTTCAACGTCCAGAATTCCATAAGTCTTAAAATTGCCAAGATTAGACTCCTCTGATACATACCATTCACACACGAAACATGTACACACACAAATTATAACCTCCAGGGGGGAAAAAAGGAAAAATGATCTTATACGAAGAGGCTGGGGAAAAAGGACCATAAAAAGAGCATAAAATGGATGTACGACTACCAGACCTTCCTCAGCTTGACACCCTTGGGGAATTGCTTTACCCTGGGATCCTTAACATGGAACCTGTGGACATCAGTCTGCCTACTAACATTTCCTGGTGCCTTTTATTTCTTTTATTTTTTGTTTTCTGAAAAAAAGGGGGGGAGGGCATTACACGGTACAGTGCAAAATAATAACTTCCAGGTTCAATTTTATTTCTAGAATATCTCACTGTGTTGCTCCTTACATGGACTTAGAGACACCTGTAGGAAGTATAACCAGTAGAGAGTTCATGCAAAAGGCAAAGATATTATAAATAGAGCTGATAACTTGGCTGTGTGGGAGGCCTTCCTCCATTTGCCTCTTCTCATAAGTAAGTACACTATGCTATAATTAATCACACCCACCATGTCAGCTTTCTGATGAAAGATGCCATAGCACCCTTTCGATATTCATGTGCTCCTCAGTCAACCCCCCCCCCAAAAAAGCATGTAGCTTTGAAAAGCCTTCCAATGCAAAAGGCCTATCAAGATAGATTACCATGTTGAGAAAAATATATATGCTGATGTGATGCTCTGTGTTGCTTTTCCTTCCCCATGGGCTCTGTTTACTTACCTAATGAGATTCTGACCCAACCACAGGAATTGCACCTGAAGGAGGGAGATAAATGCTGCTTGAAAGCATGAATTATGCATACACCTTATGCAAGGCAACTGTATCTGAGCAACTGGTTTTTGTTATGGAGCCCTGGATCAGGGCAACCACAGGGAGGATTTAAAAAGTTAAGATGATTGGCATGACTATGCAATCAAACCCCTACCTCTTTTAATATGCATGCAAGGGTAGGGCTTTAATTGCAGTCACAGTTGCCATCTTCGTTTTTTATCCTCCTGTGGATGCATCTACACCAGATGCTGCATTTTAAAATAATATTTTCCAATAATGTTTTCTATAGATAACAAGGTTACGGCCTAAAGAGAACTCTTAACAGAATGTCACAAGCCATTTGGAGAGGCAAAACTGAAGCACGCCTTTTTAAAACTTTTAAAGCAGGAGATCAGTTTTTGCTATTGTAATTATTTGTCTCTTCCTCATAGCCTGCTCTGAGGAAGTTATTAGTTGTTTGTCTCTTTCTCTGGAGAAAAAGTTGCTCTGCTCTAGGGAGAAAAAGGTATCAAAAAGAGGAAAATGGTGACAACCAAGAAAGAATTGGTGTTCTACCCACGTTTAGCTCTTGACAAACTCATTGATAACTTCAGCCCATGTACTACATAAGACATAAGACATAAGAATTTATTTGTCATTACACTCGCTAACGGGTGCAACGAAATGAGGTGCTCTTCCACAAAGTAAAACTGGACAAACACCACTAAAAGAAAAAAAATTGAACTAAACACAACCAACCATACAATAATCTCTATGCAATTTAAAAATGTAAATACCCCATTACTCTCAGCCATTTAAATTCCACAAAAATCTTATAACCCTGCATTCAAACTCAAAACTGCACTTGGATAAAAACTGTTCTTAAATCTGGTTGTCCTTGTTCTTAATACCCTAAATCTCCTTCTCGATGGTAATAGTTCAAAGAGCTGATGTCCCGGATGAGAGGAGTCCAAGATGGTCTCCAAGATGTAGTCCTTGGGAGAAATAGAGATATTTTTTCTACAAACTTCCTAATAAAGGAAAATTGTTTACTACAATGCTTCTGTGAGGCCATTTCCTTCAATGATCAAGCAGATAGAAGTTACAACAAAGACTAGATGTAGGTCAAATATGATCAAACACAATCTCTGGACCACCAAAGATACAATAACACTGGCCTCTTTGCTGTGTGCTGGGCAGGGCACTAAAACCGGGACCTTGAAGCATATATTAAACCACCCAGAGTACATTAGTGAGCTGCTATCATAGGTTTTATGGGCTTGCATTATAAAGACACATCTATGGAGATTCTCAATCATCCAGGTCATGGTCATCCCAAAGATGCTGTTCAAAAGGCAACTGGACTTTCTTAGGGTTTTTTTGCCTTGAAAATGTTCACTTCTCAAACAAAAGAAGCCTTTTGAACAGCATCTTCGGCACATTATGGAGTCACCATTTCTATGAGGGCCAGGTGTGATACTATCAAACATCAAAGTGTTCCAGGATTGCAATGGATATATTCAGTTGCTTAGGTGAGTCACAGATAAAAAATCTCTGCTATTACTAGAATGCTACTTCCCCAATGGCATAGATGCATTCAAAGGTAATCAAACTGCAGTTGTAATAGCAAAAGAAACAAATAATAGAGATCTTATCTATTTAGTTCATTCAACTATTTCTCCTCAGGGTAGTCATATACCAGTAGTATTGAATCAATGACAATGAGATACTATACTATTGTAGTGGAAAGAGAAAACCAGGCAAATACATGGCAGCCCATTTTCCTGATGGATGTGTAATCCTTGATGGGGATCGATTCCCTATTAACATTTTAGGAAGGCAAAAATAAAAATTCACTCTTGATCATTGACATGTTAACATATTGACATGTATTCACACTGATGCATAGCCCAAAGGTAGTGGCCATCTCCATCTTTACTAACAAAACATTATCCAAATGACTGATCCAGGAATGTGGAAAATGGCAACCACCCAAAGTGGTGGTTGGCAGGAAATGTCAATTCCAACAGCAGGCAAGAAAAAAGATGTCACTGGATTGAATTTTTGGAATGTTACAATGATTCTAACAATCTATTTTGTTTGTTTGTTTGTTTGTTTGTGAGGGAGGGAGGGGAGTAGATGTTGTGTTCTTCGAGTATTCAATTTTAGTACCTATGTTGTATATCAAATTCCATTCATTTCAGGCTAATCACTTACCTTTCCTAATATACAATATCCAATTCATCAATGGAACATATAGGTGATTTTTACACCTCTAAGAGGTTAAGGGGCTGAAAGAAAATGAAAATACAATGCTCAAATTATTTGTAAACAAAGGCCTCCAGCACTACTTTGTTTTTTTAAAAAAACTTAACATTTCAGCAAAATTTAACAATGAAATGCAACTGAAAAGCAGGCTATGGATTCTGCCAGCCAAAGGAAGTCATCTTGTGGGCCCTTGGAAGGAGGCCTTTTCTGTTGCAGAGCCTGATTTTTGGAACACAATTCTCCCCAAGGTTAGACTGCTGGCTTTTCAGAAGGCTCTAAACTAGGATTGGAATGTGATCCTAGGCACGTGGGTGGGTTAGAATGCTAGTGAGAGCTGGTGATGGGGTTATGATTTGGTTTGTCTTGGTTTGGTTCCTTACCTGCTTTTTAAACTTTTGTATTAAGATTTTTCATGAGGTTTTTTTTTTTTAATGTTGTAAGCCATCCAGAATCACAATTGTGAGATAGGCTTTTATATACATTGAGGAAATAAAACAAATCATAAATTTAATTTTAAAGACCCCTGTTAAGTTTGGAGAATAAGGAGACCAGACATCTGACCAGTGACTTCAACTCTTTAATAATAACAGGAATCAGAATGGAACAGAGCAATGCTATGGGCAGCAGTAACCCTTTTATAGGGTTAGCTGCTGCCTTATTAACCAATGAAAATGTGCAACAGGTTCCAACTACTGACCAATAAGGACAGTTCCAAAAGTGGCCAATCAGGGACTGGTTCTGGCCCAATCCCAAGTTGTTGTACAAGGACCAATCAAGTGTGCAGGTTTTCAACCCCTAATTTGCATTTAGGTTATTCATTTTTATTGATTCACAACAACCCCAGTACTGTATTCGACATACTAAATTCTGAAGAGGGTTTTAAAAAGTGTTTCAGCTATCATAAAAGCAACTGATTTCAGAAAGGGCACTTTAATTTTCTCCTGCTTTCTTCTAGGTGCAAAACAACACAACATCCGGACAAGCTGTCGCCATGGAGATTTTCCTCACTTTTCAATTGGTCCTGTGCATTTTTGCCTCCACTGATGATAACAGGAGCGACAACTTGGGATCTCCAGCTTTGTCCATTGGTTTCTCTGTCGTCCTGGGTCATCTCATTGGGGTGCGTAACCAGATTGCTGCGCAAAATTAAGCAAGGATGTTAAATTGAAATTTAATAAAGTTTGGGGGATGGACAATAATATTGACCATCAAACCCAAATTTTAGAGTTGAAAGAGTGGCCCTTTTCAAGTGGAGTTTCACATGGCTGAAAATCTGAGCAATTTTCTCTGGATTCAACACATAGCTAGTCATTGAATCCAGATTCAATGGGTTTGGGCTGCACATAGTTGAGTTCCAATGTGGCTGCCTCTCCCTACTTTTCTAGATAGCAACCAATCTGAGATCCTATTATTAAGAGGATGCTATCATCAATTAGGATTCAATTCATCCTTAGCTACTTGCTGAGATAGATCAGGAGTACAAGTGATCGCATTTAATAGTTTAGTGCATCAATCTGTTTAGTGGTACTCATAATGGCTGCCCTTGCTAATTAGTTGTTATAAGACAATCTCAATGATAAAAATGTGGCTTTTTTGGCTTGCATGAAAGGGCTTCTTTCTTCCTTTCCCAATTCTGTCCAATTACAGGTAGTCCTCAACTTATGGCCACAACTTAGCCCAAAATTTCTGTTGGTAAGCAAGAAAGCTATTAAGTGAGTTTTGCCTCATTTCATAACCTTTCTTGTCACCGTTGTTAAGTATTACTGCAGTTGTTAGGAACACCGGTTGTTAAATGAATCTGGCTTCCCCATTGGCTTTGCTTGTCAGAAGATTGCAAAAGGTGATCATACGACCCTGGGACACTGCAATCATCATAAATATGAGTCCGTTGCCAGGCAACTGAATTTTGAACATATGCCCATGGGGATGCTACAATCGTCATGTGAAAAATGAACAAAAGTTATTTTTTTTCAGTGTCGTCGTAATTTTGAACAGTCGCTATATCAAAGGGTAAGTCAAGAACAACCTGTACTTTCAAAAAATTCCCCATGAAGATTATTCCAGTCCTCTGCAACTGATTTTTAGACTTAGAAGTGGCTGCAAGGAAGGATGTTCTCCACTCCTTATTTTACCATGGTGGTGCAGTGGTTAGAATGCAGTATTGCAAGCTAACTTTGCATTTCCACTGCCACACGTTGAATCCTGACTGGATCAAGATTGATTCACCATAGAGAGTATCTTAATTTACTGCACCTCTGTATCAGAGGTGGTATTCAGTAGGTTCTGATCAGTTCTGGAGAACCAGTAGCGGAAATTTTGAGTAGTTCAGAGAAACGGCAAATACCACCTCTGACTGGAGATTTTACAGTATCCTTCTCCTACCATGCCCACCAAGCCACGCCCACAGAACCAGTAGTAAAAAAAATTGAATCCCACCACTGATCTGTATGGTTTGCCAATTGCACAGTGGCAGATAGGACAGCACTCCAGAAGGTTAACATCATTGCCCAAAAGATCATTGGTTGCCCTCTCCCCTCTTTGGAAGAGCTTTATAGCTCCCACTGCCTTAAGAAAGTTCAAAATATTCTCAAAGATCCATCTCATCCTGGGAACCCTTTTTTTGAACTATTACCATCTGGCAGACAGTACAGAATAATAAAAACAAGGACAAATAGGCTGAAAGACAGCTTCTATCCCAGGGCAGTAACTCTATTGAATTCTACTGTATAGTGCAGTGTTGGTGCGGTGTCGGGGGTTTTCAATTCAATGTATAGAGTGTGAAGGATCTGCGTTTGTGTTTATTTTCATGGTCATGATATGCACTGAAGATGGTGTTTGATTTGGTTGTACAAGGTGCAATGACAATAAAGTAAACTAAAACTAAAATTCCATTTTCCATCCTTCCAAGGTGGGTAAAATGATTACCCAGATTGTTGGGGGCAATATGCTGACCCTGTAAACCACTTAGAGAAGGCTGCAAAGCACTATAAAGTGGTATATAAGTCTAAGTGCTATTGCTATTTACAGATAGCAAGATAAGCCACAGCAGAATGACAAGTCTAATGGAACATGATTTTCTGTTGAAAAAATAGTACAGTATGTTCTGTACGATCCATTAACATACTTGCAAACACCGCGCCGTGATTGGCCAGAGCGCACGGCGACCTGATTGGCCAAGCGAGCCACACTGATTGGCCCGCCGCGAATCCCCGCGATTGGTGGAAACTAATCGCGGGAGATTCGAAGCGGTGCCATTGGCCGCGGCCGCCGCAGCCAGGGAATAAAAGCCGCCGTTTTTCTACTAGAGCCCGAGCCGATCTCGGGACTTAATAAAGAGCTGAACTAAGTCACTGGCTCCCGAGTCTCCTTTCCCTGTGACGGACACGACACTGGAGACGAAGGTGGGATCCCGGAACTGAGCCCCACCGAGCATGTGGTCCCGAGGGAACGAGATCGACGAGATGGCCAGCCTCGCACCGCCCGCACCCTTTAACCAAGCTACTGAGGACTGGGAATCATACATTGATCGGTTCCTGATGTTCCTAGAAAGTAGCAACCTCAAGGACGCAAACGGGCAGAAAAAAAGGGCTGTTTTCCTGACACACTGCGAGCCCGCAGTGTTTAAGATGGCGAAAGCCCTTGCGAAACCCGAGGACGTGAAGGCGATGGACTGGGCTGACCTCGAGCCGCTGCTCCGAAGCCACTGTGCTCCCGCCGTGCCCACCCTCATCAGGCGGCATGACTTCTACCGGAGGGACCAGAAGCCGGGTGAGAGCATCAGTGATTTCATGGCAGACCTACGGAATCTAGGGGGCATGTGCGGTTTCACGGATATGGACGAGGCACTACGAGACCGCGTCGTCCTCGGGCTCAAGGACCTGGTCCTACAAAGCCAGCTGATGGCAAAAGGAGACATCTCCCTTGCCGACGCTCTTGCCGAGGCCACCGCAGCCGAGGCGACCTGGAAATCGGCGGCTCGAATGTGGAGACTGGACACCGGGGACCGAGCCGCGACCTCCGAGGCGGGTACGACAACCGAGATGCGTCCAGAAGCAAGCCGCCGAGAAACCACCACCACCCACCAGGGCGACCTCGACTCCGCCTCCGACACCACGGATGAAGAGGAGGACATCCATCGACTCCAAACAGAATGAGACCGGCACGATCGACGGAGTCGTAAGTCGGGACCCCAATGTGCCGGGTGCAGGGGCGACCACCCTCGATCGGAGTGCCGGTTTTTCGATGCGATCTGCCAGCACTGCGATAAAAGAGGCCACATCGCCTGAGTCTGCCAACTCAAGAAAGCCTACAGCCCCCGACGACGAGACAACGGCGACCGGAGATGAGATGGCACCCCCCCAGGCCCAGGGACCGACAAGCCGAGGGTCGTTGGGACCGGGACGGACGGGGCCGACGGGACGGCGAGAACCGTCGGAGAGAGGAGACCCACCAGACGGTCGTCATCGGCCATTCATCAAGCGCAGACGCCCGAAAAGTATACGTGGAAGTGGGCATCGAGGGCAAGCCATGCAAGATGGAGGTGGACTCCGGGTCCTACCTCTCCATGGTTGCATGGCGGGAAATCAAGTGCCTGGTGCCTGCAATCCACAAGAGGGGGCTGGAAAGCCAGAAGTTAATCCTTAAAGACTACCAAGAGAACCGCATCCCGGTAGTCGGAACAGGACACTTCGAAGTAACATTCAAGGGGCGCACAGCAAGGCTTCCCCTGACGGTCGTGGACCGAGACCACCCCAGCCTTTTGGGACTATAGTGGTTCGCGCCGCTCGGTATCGAAGTGACGGGCATCGACCACGTCGCAGAGGCAGACTGGGAAGAGCAACTCGCAAGGGACTTCCAGGAAGTGTTCGACGGCACCCTAGGCAAGTACCGAGGGCCCCCTATTTCCTTCAGTCTAGACCCCAGCGTCCCCCCGATACGCCTAAAACCATGGCGGGTACCTTTCGCACTCCGGCCCAAGATCGATGAGCAGATAGACAAACTCATCAAACAGGGGGTCCTAGAGCCAACTGATCACGCCCGGTGGGAGACCCCCATAGTCACCCCAGTCAAGCCCGATGGGTTGGTGAGAATCTGTGGGGACTATAAGGCCACCCTAAACTGCGCCTTACAACAAAGTGCCTACCCCGTCCCAGTAGTGCAGCACCTCTTACACTCACTGGGGGGAGGCAAGGTTTTTGCGAAGCTCGACCTGGCACAAGCCTACCAACAATTACCGGTCGATGCAGAAACCGCCGAGGCGCAGACCATAGTAACCCACCGGGGGGCTTTTTGCTGTAAGAGACTCCAGTTTGGAGTCAGCGTGGCCCCAGGAATTTTCCACAGCCTCATGGAGAGACTCCTACAAGGAATCAAGGGGGTGGTGCCCTACTTTGACGACGTACTGGTGTCAGCAACCAACCAAAAAGAACTGGAGGGTCGCCTGAGGGAGGTACTAACAAAATTCAAAGAGGCCGGACTAAAAGCCAAAAAAGAAAAATGCCAGCTGTATACAGAGAGGGTCGAGTTCCTAGGATACCTCCTAGACTGGCACGGCATTCACCCAACCGAGAAAAAAATCAGAGCCATCAAAGAAGCCCCCAGACCAAGGAACAAAACAGAATTGCAGGCATTTCTTGGGCTGATTAATTTCTACAATGTTTTCCTACCCCAAAAGGCAACCGCGGCGGAACCGTTGCATAGGCTGCTCGATAAAACAGCCACCTGGACCTGGGGGAAACGAGAGGAAGCCGCTTTCAACCAAACCAAGGACCTACTCACATCGGATGCCGTCCTCATCCAATACAACGAGACCCTCCCGCTGACAGTCACGTGCGACGCATCACCGTTCGGGATCAGGGCGATCCTCAGCCACACACTCCCGAACGGAAATGAAGCACCCATCGCCTTTTACTCGAGAACCTTGTCGAAGCCGGAAAGGAACTATAGCCAACTCGACAAGGAAGCCCTGGCAATCATCGCCGCCATCAAAAGGTTCCACGAGTACCTTTACGGCCGAACATTCACCATCATCACAGACCACAAACCGTTGTTGGGCATCCTGGCAGGAAACAAGGCCACCCCGAACATTCTATCCCCAAGAATGACAAGGTGGTCTGAATT